CTGGGCTGCAGAGGAACTTGGAGTGGGAGGGAATAGATCCAGTTGTCAACGTCATCGTAGTTACTAATGATAAAGGGAGAATGAGGAAAGAAGTTTTGCTGAGGGAATATGAGAGCTAGGGGCTAAATTAACAAAAACACAATCGAAAGAAGGTAATCATCTCCAGGTTACTACCTGAGCCACGAGCTAATTGCACAGGGTCAACAAGTTAAATGAGCATGAATCAAAGACTGATGTGAGAGAAATGGGTTTAGATGCATGCGACATTAGCACCAGTATTAGGGAAAGAGGGAGCTGTTCCCATGGGTCCAGCTCCACCTGAATCATGTCGGGGCCAGAATGCTGGTGAATCGCATAACTGGGAATGTAGATGGGTTTTAAACTAAATAATGTGGGAGGTGTGGGGGGAGATGGTGGTGATGTAGTTCAGTTGCACGGAAAATTAAAATATCAAAGTTAAAGGAGAGGATATAAGTACAGGTTAGTGATGAGGCTGGTTGTTAACAGAAAATAAAAGAAAATACAGAAAATAAGTCCACGAGTAGGCCATTCAGCCCTTTGAGCCTGCAAGACCATTCAGTCTGATCATGGCTAATCATGCAATCTCAGTATCCTATGATCAGCCATCATCATATTGAATTGGAAAGAATCTGAGAACATTCTATTGCACCAAAGAATCATAAAATGTTCAGAAAATTTGATAATAGAACAAACTTAAAGGCTTTGTCTCTTATTGCATGAAGATTAATGAGTTAACAGCGCAAATACAGTCAAATGGTTATGATTTAATGGCAGTTACTGAGATGTAGTTCCAGGGACACCAGGTTGGGGAATTGAATATCCAAGGGTACTCAGTGTTTCAGAAGGATAGGCAGGAAGGTAAAGGAGGTGGCTTAGGTTTGTTAGTAAAGGATAAGATCATTGTTGTAATAAGAAGGGATTTTGGAACTGGAGATCAAAACATAGAATCAGCCTGGGAGAAATATGAAATAGCAAGGGAAAGAGGTTCCTGCTGGGAGTAATCTATAGGTCCCCAAACTGTAGTCCCACAGTATGTGACAGTACAAACTGGAAAATACTGGACCTTGTAAGAAATGTATGTCAATAATCATGGTGATTTTAATGTGCATTCAGACTGGATTAGTCAAATTGGCAAGTCTCTGGGGAGAGTTCATTGAATATATTGGAGATTGTTTCTTGTTGAGATATGTTGTGGAATCAACCAGGGATCAGGCTATTCTAGATTCGGTATTGTGTAATTAAATTGGATTAATTAACAATCTCATAGTAAAGGATCCTCTTGGGAAGAGTGATCTTAGTATATAAGAATTTCAAAATCAGTTTGCAGGCAAGAAACTTAGCATTCTGGAGTTATATAAGAGGTTTGCTCCGAATAGACTGGGCAGGAAAACTAAAAGGTAGGACAGTTGATGAGCAGTGGCAGATGTTCAATGAGACATTTAATTCCTTCCAACTAAAGTATATTCTAGAGAAGAAGAAAGATTGTAAAGAGGGAAAAGCATCCATGGTGCAGCAAGAAAGTTAATGATAATATAAAAGCAAAAATTAAGGCATTCCATATTGAAAAGCTCAATGGCAGGCTGCGGGATTTGAGAAATATTGAAAGATTAGATAAGACGAAAGATCTGATGTGATGTCCTCATTAGATTCCAACACGGGTTGAAACCAAGTTCACAAGGGATAAAAGCTTCTACAGGCTCAGCATCAAACATAGATATTGGTCCATACATGGGGCCAAGAATCTCAGGAATTCACTACCTTCAGCACAGCATTTGGAAGATATTGCTTCCACAGACTACCTTATGGTTTACCTTTCCAATCAAAATCAGCAAATGAACAGATTCTTAGAAAATGCATCTGCGTGCATATGCTTTGCTGATGTTATTGCAATATTGTGCTTTTGACCTTACAAAAATGAGCTTGATACTCTCTTGAGGTGTTAACTCCAAAGAAGATTTGAGAATTTTCCCCACTACCGAGGTTAGGCTCACTGGTCAATAATTCCCTGTTTTCCCTCTAACTCCCTTTTTGAATATTGGAGTGACATTAGCCACCCTCCAATCTGCAGGGACTGTCCAGAGTCTATAGAATCCTGGAAGATGACCACCAATGCATTCACTATTTCTAAAGCCACTTCCTTAAGTACTCTGGGATGTAGATTATCAGGCCTTGGGGATTTATCTGCCTTCAATCCCATCAATTTTCTCAGCACCATTTTTCTACTAATATTGATTTCCCTCTCACTAAATCTTGCATTCTCCAACATTTCTGGTATCTGATTTGTGTCCTGTTTTGTGAAGACAGAACCAAAGTATGCATTCAGTTGCTCAGCCATTTCTTTGTCCCCTATTATACATCCCCCCATTTCTGTCTGTAGGAGACCTATATTTGTCTTCACCCATCTCGTTCTCTTCACGTACCTATAGAAACTCTTAGTGTCAGTGTATTTTCACCTTCTTAATCAATCCCTTGGCCCTTCTTTGCTGAATTCCAAACTGCTCCCAATCCTCAGACATATTACTTTTCTTGGCCAATCTGAATGCTTCTTCCTTGGATTGGATACTATCTTTAATTTCCTTCATAAGCCATGGATTGGCCCTCTTACACATTTTGCTTTTGTGCCAGACAGAAATAAGCAGTTTTTGCAGTTCCCCCATGCATTCCTTGAATATTTGCCATTGCCTATCCATTGTCATCCCTTTAAGTAACTCTCCCCAATCTATCAAGGCTGACTCGAGCCTCATATCTTTATACTTTCCTTCATTAAGGTTCAGCACCCTAGTAACTGAATCAACTACCTCACTCTCCATCTTGATAAAAGACGTCGAGAGGAAACAGGGAATTTTGGACCAGTAAGCCTAACATCAGTAATGGGGAAAATTCTTGAATCCATTATCAAGTACTTTATAGTGGAGCTTTTGGAAAGCAGTGGCAGGATCAGACAGAGTCAGCATGGATTTATGAAGGGGAAGTAATGCTTGACAAATCTGTTGGAATTCTATGAAGATGTAACTAGTAGAGTTGACAAGGGGGAGCCAGTTGATGTAACATATTTGGGCTTTCAGAAAGCATTTGACAAAGTCCCGCATAAGAGATTATTGTGCAAGATTAAAGCGCATGGAAACAGGGTACTGAGTTGGAAGATCAGCCATGATCATATTGAATGATGGAGTAGTCGTGCAGGGCCAATTGGCGTCTTCTTCCTCTTCCTAATGTTTTTGCATTTCTATACTGTTTTAACTATTGCTAAAACATATGAGCATAGGATGGATGAAATGGTTAACATGCAATATGGTCTATTGACAGGTATCAACAGTGACATGGAAAAGTTGGTGAGGACGTGCAAAGTGTGGTGATGGAACATTGGGACCACAATTGATATACTGACAACATGTCTGTAGACCAAGGCAAATCTACATTTTTGGAATGTTACATCATAAAAAAGATCTGGAAGTGTTGTCAAACTGTAGAAACAATAAATGGACTCTAAGACGTCTGCACTTATAAATTTTACAATCTCTATCTCTGTATTACTAATTTTGCTATCATTCAATGTTTGCATTTTCACTTGTATCCTATAAGAGCTCCCTTTGGAAACAAATACGTTTCATTAATCCTTTTAATGAAAGGATTAATTTCATTAAGAGTTCAATATGCACGTGAGCAAACTAACTGCATGTTATTACATTACCACAGGTCACAGGCTCTTTGCACTGTACCACTCTAGACATGTATAATGTCTGGAGATTACTCTGTCCTTTACATATCAGTTTAGCTGAAAATAAACCCACCAGAGATCTTCGATTAAATGGAATCTACATTTTATTCACTTCATGGGTATTGCTGGCTGGCCAGCAATTATTGCCCATCCCTAGTTGCCCTTGAAAAGGTGATGGTGAGCTGCCTTCTTGAACCACTGCAGTCCACATGCTGTAGGTTGACCCACATGCCCTTAGTGGGGGGAAGTTCTTGGATTTTGAACCAGTGACAGTGAAGGAACAGCGATATATTTCCAAGTCGGGATGGTAAGTGACTTGGAGGGGAACTTGCAAGTGGTGGTGTTCCTATGCGTCATTAATGTTATATTTAGATAGAACAAGAATATCATTGTAGCAACTTTCTCTGCCTGGGCAGTAATCTGGCAAAACGTATCACCCATCCATTGTAGGACCACCTAATTTTTATTTCATTGAAATTAATGAGGTGAAAATTGACCCATGTTAGGCAATGGGTCTTCATTCCTGGGTGATGTCTGTTTCCCTTGTTTCTCAGGGAAACTCTTCAAGATGCTTGCCAATATTAAAATTATTACTTAAGTGCACCTTTTCTAACAGGTTCAATATTTATAGAAGACTTAATTATTACCAACAGAACTTCAAACTCAAAAGATGTAAAAATAAATAATGAAACTAGCAAAGAGAAATAGTTTAAATCTTATGGGTAAATATCTTTTTGATGCAAATTTGCCCCATATATTTTGAGAAAGCTTTCTGTTGGGCAATCATATTCTGCAAGGAATGTGCACATTTATTTTGCCAGCCTTCTGGCTTGTGCAATCCAGATCTTGATCTCTAGTTATCGACCCATTTTATGATAGCAATTCTGTTTTTAATTTTAGCTCAGTTTATCAAAACCCTCATCTTCCAAATCACTGTCACTTTCCTATTCCAAGGAGAATAGTCATAACTGTTCCAATGCTCCCTCATTAGAAGTTCCTCATTCCTGCTAGCATTGTGGTAAACCTTCATGTACCATTCCAGGGCTTTGTGTCTATTTATATTGTGGTACCTAGAATTATCCACAATAGTCTAGCTGCAAGCTAAGCAATGATGTTTAAAGTTCTAATTCCGACCTTTGTTTTTATATTGTAATCCATTACTTATAAACCCAAGTAACTCATTTGATTCCCTTTTCAACTTGCACTGTCATGTTTGTGTTTTTTAATACGGACACCAAGTCTCTCGTTCATCTGCATTTTGTAAAATTGTGTGATTTGTCTTTTAAAGTGAGAGGAGAAAGATCTAAAAGGGACCAGAGGGCAAATTTTTCACACAGACGGTCATTCATATGTGGCATGAATTGCCAGAGGAAGTGGTAGAGGTCGGTACAGTTACAACATTTAAAAGACATTTGGACAGGACATGACTAGGAAAGGTTTAGAGGGATATGGGCCAAACACAGGCAAATAAGACTAGGATTTGGGTGAAGTCCACATTGATACCATTGGGCTGCAGGGTTCCCAAGCGGAACATGAGTTGCTGTTCCTGCAACCTTCGGGTGGCATCGTTGTGGCACTGCAGGAGGCCCAGGATGGACATGTCATCTGAGGAATGGGAGGGGGAGTTGAAATGGTTCGCGACTGGGAGGTGCAGTTGTTTAGTGCGAACCGAGCGTAGGTGTTCTGCAAAGCGGTCCCCAAGGATCTTCCCCACAAATAAGACTAGTTTAGTTTGGGAAACATGGTCAGCATGGACAAGTTGGACTGAAGGGCCAGTTTCCATGCTGTGTGACTCTATGACTCCATGACTCTATGTGTATATCCCCTTTCCATATTATCATTGTCAAAGCATAATTTCACTCTTCTCTGAGAAACTATCACTTATCCAGATGTCAAAGGGAAGACAACTCCTGAAATATAAAGTATAGACCATAAAAGTCAACATTGATCAATCATTCCTTCAGCAACAATGTTTCCTTGCTCAAATAAGAATGATGACATGCCATGTAAGTTGACAATTAGTATTTCTTTGTTTGTAGAAGAATATTAAAGCATTCAAGGAGAGAACAGCAACGTGAAGAGATTGAAGTGGTTGAAGAGGCAAGAGAAACGTCTAGGTCAAGAAGTGCCAATCAGAGATCCTATGGGAAACTTGTTCATTAATCCTCAAAGCAAGGAACGTTGAAGATCATTGTGGCAAGCAATTCCCCTATGTCTGGAACCCTCCGAAAGTATCCGTTTCATGTGGAGAATTCAGAGGATTCTGCTGCAGTTAAGTAAATAGTTATTCAAGAGAAGTTAGACTATTAAAAATCTAAACTAACTCCTGCATAACAACTAAACTGGCCCAACCTAAAACATACACACTGAGCTACACCTGCCCCCACTCCCCTTACTCTCTGGGACCTACACCACCACTGCCAAAGGGACCTGAAATCCCACAGTGACCTCCCTCTCACTCGTGGATCTCTGACACAAGACCATACACACCCGTTTCCTTGGACTCTACACATACATGGGACTCCACAAGTCCCTGCCATGGACCCAACACCCTCAGCCCCTGCCGATGGACCTGACATCTCACCCATTCTCCCGGAACCCAACATTCCTCCCTTCCAGCTAGACCCAATATCCCCCACCCACCCTGACCTACCCTAAGTACTCCATCACTTATATGGCCCCCTTCCCATCTTACACCTTGTCCCCTTCCTGCCTGACACCCTCACCTCACACTTACCTTCCATACTTACCCTTTCACAGGAGCAGCGAAAGTGTCTGTCTGAAATGCTGGATATGCAAATCACAAAATACAGCAATGGCCAGGATGAAAAATGAAGCATGGTTTCACTCCCTTTGGCTATCCTATTCCACTCGGGACCTTTCAGATTTAAAACATGCTCTGCATTTCTGAAAGTTCCCTGATCAGAATTGCCTGTCAGAAATGCAGAGCTCTTGCAATCTGACTAAAGTTGCACTCCTTAGAAAATCCAGACCTAAATGTCCAGCAGACTTGTTGAAAAGTGCTGTCAAAGATTAGATAAGTAAGCTAAGCGGGACAGTCGGGTGAGAGGTGATGCTGTATGGTGCCAGGTAGGTAATGTCATCAGTGATTAGTTGTTACTGGTTAGGATAGAAGGTGGTGACAGTTAGGGTGCCAAATGGGTGAAGGTGAAAGGGTGATTGTTAGGTGAGAAGGTCATTATACCAGGTGGGCAATGTTCCAGAGTGTCAGATAAGTGGACAATGCTTAAGCTAGTTTGGGAGATGGGGAGCACATTATAAGGTTGGGAATGGGAGGTGGTGAGTCAGACCCAAGAGTTGCCATGGATCAGGGTTTGTAGTTATTGGGAGAGGGAGAGGTTAATGGTGAGTCATGGATTCAGCTTAACAGCTACCAAGAAGTTAGAGATGTTTCTTCTCTATTAAGCTATAACTATTAACTTAAGTGAGTTGGAACTCTCCAAATTCATTGACTTGAAGGAGCCAGACAGAGTAGAATTACACTGGAATTTTCAATTTCCCAGACAATTTGTAATTTCTACATTGTCCTGATGAGCAAGTAAACATGTATAAATGTGTACTCTCTCCTGGTTAGCAGCTCTGTTAAATGCATGGTCCTTATCGGATTGATTTAACCTACTTTTCTAATCAACCTGTTCAGAGATTTTATTGCACACTTCTGGAGCAGGTGGGGCTTGAATCCAGGCCTCCTGCTCCAGGGGTAGGGACACTACCATTGTGCCACAAGAGGGCCCTATCCTTACTGGATCTAAAGATTGTATTAGAATGACTAGAATCTGTCCAGAAACTGAAATTTATTCATAACCAAAATATATTATCCCTGCCAAAGAGACCCAATGAATTGTCCTGATTAATTTATCATTTTTAGTGAAAACTAATGCGGATTCCTAAAGAAATTAAACTGAAACATAATCATGTTGAGGGAAAGTGAACAGGAACATGGATTGGATACAAGTATTCTCTTTCCAACTATTGCATTATTCAAACCCCATTCTTCCAAACACAAAAGAGCAACAAATTGCAGTGTGCTGCTAGAGGTTACCACGATCAAAATGTATGCATCTTCGTAGATTAGGTTAAAGCAAAATCAAATAAAATGTTTTTGAAATATTGTAATGTTGTAATAAAACAGTCTCTAAATTGGCAGGAATTTCAGTTATTTCCATTATTTCACTATTTTTATTATTTTATTTGTGCAATATTGATGACATTGGGAAACTAGCTTTCACTGTGACTTGCAATTTAAAGGTGTGTTATGGTAAATGTCTGCCAGAGAAAACAAGAAATGCAAGAATGTGTGCATTATTTTCATATACAGCTTTTGTAGAAGTTCCACAAAAGGTTTTAATTATGGGCAGGAAGTTTCCACAAGTATTCTTGGTTGTGTGTGTAAATGTGGAATAGTTCTAAAATGGTAACGGCACTGTGAAAAACTAACATTATTTATCAACAAATTGAAAAGAAGATGCCAACTCCAAAGCTCTTCTGACAGTGCAGTACATCAGAGGTTTGCTGTACGATATAAACTGCAGCATTACCCACTGTTTAATTTCTTTTAGAACAAAAGATTGCTGCAAGACTTACCGCAGTTTCTTGCACAGAAACTACAGGCAGTTAATGTAAACATTCATGAGATCATTTTTGCTATATCTGACTGTTGCATCAGGTTAAAATGATTTGCCCTGTTGTCATGGTTACATAAATG